TTATTATATTTAAACCATCTTATTTTTAGGTTTCATTTGAATGGTAAGTGAAAAAAAAATTTTTATCCCATCATTTTGGGAGTTGGGACTAAATATTTAGATACAAGTGCATTTTACTGACAATTTCCTTTTATTAAAATTTTATAATTGTTTAATCATAATAAAAAATTATATAAAGATTTATTATTTATAAATGTAAGCTTCATATAATATTTTAATGGATCCTATGTTATTTTACATTATCATTGATTAATTGTATTACAATAATTATAAATAATATACTTGCCTTAAGTCCAATATCAAAATACATATAATGGCGTGATAAGAATTACTTTCTACTCATCATCCATATGAAACATTAATAATATATAAAGTTATTATTTAAGTATAAATTATTTTATTATTTGTTTACGAAGGACAATTAATTTTTAAAACGTCATTTCCATGTATTTGTTATATTTATTATTTTTTTAAGGTTATAAGTTTATGCATAAAAAACTCCATAAGTGATTTTATATGTATTTATGTGTTTGTTTATCTTACAATTATGATATTTAACTAGAAGCTCTACACATAAATATACTAGTTTGTAAAGTTTTTAAAATTTATCGATAATTTTTAACATTAAAAAGTATTATATTTGAGAATATGAAAAATAAATTTAGAATTGATTTTATTTAGTATATTTATGTATTTAAGAAAGTAATAAAAAAAGTTAATTTAAAATTCATTTTCTCAATTATAAATTTTGAATTGATCAGATTATGTCAAAAAGCATTTATACTTTTACAAATTTTGAATTTTTTTATTATAATTTATAAAAATTTAATAATCATATTATTTTGATTTGATAATTTTAATTTAATTATTAATTTTATCAAATTTTTTATTAGATGTTAACGTAACATTTGATATAATTATGTACCTATTAACTGAAATGATATGACATTTTGATTTGTTTATAGTTGAAGAGATGCTGATATGGATTAAAAAATATGGCATAGTTTCTAATCCACATCATTTTTACATTTTAAAATTTTTTCAAAAAATCTTAATAATTAATTTTAATTTTTTGAACTAGTAACTGAAAATTTTTAATTTGAAATAAAAAAAAATTCTGAAACGTAAAAATAAATCGATTGAATTCATTAAAATAGCCGGCAACCATACAAACTCATATTTTAGTGATCAACTGCCGTTCACTAATGTAAGAATGTCACCAAAATCTATTTGGAAGCTCCTTTTAATCTTATCTACAGATTTATGGACTTTAATTTCTTCAAAATTCTTTTTTTTTTTTCACTAAAAACCGAAAGAAACCGGATCCTAAAAACTTAAATCTATCGTCACCTTCTATATCCAGCAAATTTTTTCCAAGCCTTACCCTTATTTTTCCCTAAATTTTTACCGTTGAAATTTTGAAAAATTATTTCCCAAAATCCCATGAACTCGAAACCTTCAAAATTCTAACTTTCCTTGAAGAAGGTGGTAGAGTACTTGAAGAGCTAGCACTTGATACTCAAAAAGAGGCCACAGCTCAACTCAGGTTACTTGCCGAGCTCAATATGGATGGATAATCGGATTGTAATAGCAAATTGTGGTACCATGAGCTTGTTAATTGATTTGCTTCTTTAACCATATACAAACACTTAACGAAAATTACGTTAACAGCGGTTATTAACTTATCAATTAACTGCAAGCACAAGCAAAAATAAAAAACGAAGCAAAAATTCCATTAAGGATTTGAAGCAAAAACTCGAAAACACCCTCGCCTGGCCTGCAAGCTTAAAACAATGGCATCTCTGGCGTCTCTTCAAAACACAAGAATTTCCATTACCTTCTCTTCCCACTTAGAATCTTCAATTATTCAACAAGGAAATTAAGCTCAGTTTTTCTCAAAACCCCAACAAGCTTAACATCAATGACAGTTGGGTCAAGGTTTTGGGAATTAGGGTTCATTTGATCTGGTATTTTAGTAGAACGAAATTTAGGATAAGGGATTTTCTATTTGGTTTTGGGATTTTCGATTTGGGTTTAGGGATAGTTGTAATGATTTGCGGTTTGATTTAGATTTTCAATAGTTGAAAAATTTTAAGATTTTGTTTTTTTGTTTTTTTTCAATTTAGTTTTAATAAAAAAAAAAGCTATTTAAATATATTAAAATTAATTATTTAATTTTTTGAGAAAAAAATAATTTAACATGAATAAAAAATAATACGACGTAACATTAATTATTAACACACGTCAGCATCTCTTAAAATCTCACCTACTCAAAATATAACGTTAGCTTTGTCAACAAACACTTAATCTAGATAAATATCAGTTCAACATATTTGAAAGAAAATATGGACGAAATTAGTGATAAAATTATTAAATTAAATTTATATTAAATGTTAAATTCAAGAGTCTTATTTTTTTTAATTTATATAAAATTTGAATTTCAAAATTTTTTAAATGTAAAATTTAAAATGCAATTTATAATCTTTAAATTTTAAAAACTTGTTATATATTAAATTATATATTTTTAATTTCTATAATTAAGATTTAAATTTTAAAAATCTGAACTATAAAAAAAAAAAAATACATATGTTCCTAACATTAAGCCAGAGAAGAACCCTTGAATTAACATTAATTTGCAATCGAACCACGTAGCCTTCATTGGTGTAATCAAAGTTTCATGATAATATTCCTCGTACAATTAACCTAATTTATGACGCTTTCATTTTCTTCAATTAAGTGATCTAACTTCACTTTTAGGTAAAAAAAATGTTTATATGTGGTCCGACTTGGGATTATTTGGTGATTGACTTATATAGCGAAGGGCAAAAAATTCCATTGATGCAAGGCTTGCAATTAGCAACCAAGTCCATCCAAATAATGATTAAAAATGAGAAAATCAATCACCGAAATTTATTTTGATCAATGCAATAGTTAAAGTCCAATTTAGTTGACCAATATTGGCTTTTCTAGTCTCGATAGAATGCTTGGCATATAGTTAGCATAATCCCCGCCTTGAACAGAAAGAATGAAATCGTAGAAGTCTAGAATGGGAAAAAAAAGAAAAGAAAAGGAAATAGTTTCTTACGTGATAATGGCGGAAGGATTTTAGTAAGGATAAGAAAATAAAAAAGAAAAATCTAAAAATCAATTTGAAATTGTAGTATTTAATTTGATTCGAATCATTTTTTTTTTTTGAATCAAGTTTGGATATTAAATTTATATATTCATTTTGAATCAAATTTTGAATTGAAAAATAAAAAATAAAAAAAAATTAAATTAAACTGAATCATATATTTTTTTAATTTTATATATACTTTAAAATTTTATAAAATAAAAATAATAATTTTATATCAAAATCTACTTAAATATATTGAAATTTTATATCAAAATAATATATAAAAATATAAAAATATAAAAAATAAAAATTGATACTGAATTAATAAAATTTGATTCAATTTGATTCGGATTAAATAAAAGTTTAGATTCAAACTCAAATTAAATTTTAAATTTTCATGATATTATGTAATATTCAAAAAATGAAATTGAACCTGATTAAATTATGATTATGATTAAATTAAAAATAATTGATTTTGATATGATGAAATTGATTTTGATTTAATTAAAAATAATAATAGTTTTGAGATTAGATAAAATTAAATATTATAACAATAAAATTAAAATAAATTATAAAAATATTTAAATATAACTATGAGATTTTTTATTTTTGTACTATAACAATTGATTGTCACATTCAATTTTATTAAAAATTAATTATTGACTGAACCTTCTAAGCTTCAGTCACGTACCGAAAAATAACGAAAAACAATTATGTCACCGATGCTTTCCAAATGCATTCCCATATAACTAACCCCTAAAAAGGGGACAAGTCCAAAATTAAAAGGAGTAATAAGCTAAATTATCTTAATAAATGCAAAACTATTTATTTATTAATAATAAGCTAAATTACCTTAGTAAATATTAAACTCTTAACTATGGTAATTTGAATTCAATCTCAAACGAATCTTAAATAATAAAAAAAGATTGAACATCAATGATCAAAATGACAAAAGGAAGAGGGGCTTCCTTTTGAGTTTTGACTAATTGATTTTGTTGAAGCCGTTGAACTTGGAAGCAGCTGTCTCTCCCGACATCCGCTCCACCCAAGGCTCCGTTTCACCGGGCCTCTTTTTTTTTTTTTTTTTTCTAATAACAAATAATCCACGAATCAGCCAAAATGGGGAGCCCGTCTAGGTCATTGTCCACCGCTTTATCCAGTCACCAAATCCCCCAATTTTCACTCACACGTGCCACTCTCTCCTACCTCCTACCCCGGTCACCCTCCCTACCTGCTAAAAATTTAAATTGAACTCACCACCCCACCGAATCGTCCTTCAATTTGTTGGTTAATCTTCCATTTTTAGTTTTTTCTGTACTCCCTTCAATGGAAATTCATTTTCTTTCTGTTCATTCTTCTTGCATTCTCTGCTATTATATCCGTACAGTTTGGTACAGTTACCAAATCAGAATCTCGTAACAAGTAAGCTGTGATTTTGTTCTTTATATCTTTATTTCTTTTTTTGTTTTTTGGAATGTGGTCTAAGATTTGTTTAATTGAATTCTTATAAGATTCTTGCAAAGTTGAATGATTGCTTGACCGGTTCTTTCCTTTCTTTCTTTTTTTTTTTTTTAAATATGATTGGTTGGCGAGAAAATATGGGAAAGGGAAATTTGAATTTCAAATAGCTTTTTCTTTTAATAGTTATGCAATGAAATGTAGGTATGACTCAGCCTGATATGGAATTTATTTATTAATTTTTATAACATTTGGATTCTCGTTTCAACATTTTATATTCTTTTTCGCTAATCAACACATTGATTTTCTTGTCCATGAAAATTTCATATTTATATGTACAATTTCTAGAAGTTTTATTTTTTAAGAATTACTTTTAGAATATAAAATTTATCTTTTTTCTTTCTTCTTAGTTAAGTCTTGAAAATTCTAGTCTTGATTTTATTGCTAAAAGGTTGGAATTTTTTCAATAGGAGATTTTCTTTTTCCTTTTTTTTTTTGGTGATTTTTGACCCGAAATATACGGCATGTTTAGGTTAGTCCAAAGCTTTCCTTATTAGCAAATCAAAATTTCCGGGAAAAAATTATTTTCCCTATTTTGCTTATTTGATTCTTCTTTTCCTATATATATACACCTAAGTCCCTTATCTTCAATGTTAACTTTTCTTTCTAAATCCAGGTTAGTCTACAATTTTTTTTTTCTGTTTCAATAATAACTTGAAGTAATTTTCTTCTGGAGTTTCTTTTAATTTTTCGTTTTATCCTATTGTATACCTTTTGTAGTTGCATTGATGCCAGAAAACTATTATCCGGACTTCTTGCTGATTTTAAATAGTATTCATTGCTAATTGCTTGTTCTTGTTTTTTTTTTTTTTTTTTCATGGGTTTTATTCTTTTCAGATTGTTTACTGATCAATTGGATCGAAGCATGTGCGGCAGTCTAGAACAGTTAAGTACTAAGGCTACTATTCCATCCTCGTCTGAGGAAACGGAAACAATGGATTGTCTGACTGGAGTGGTAGGTAGTGAATATTCGTTCTCTGTTTTGCTTGAGTTTGCTGCTGATAATGATGTTGAGGGTTTTCGGAGATCTTTGACTACATGTGATGTTTCTTTGGTTGGTGAGGTTGGACTTTGGTATGGTCGCCAGAAGTGTTCGAAACATATAGTCGTGGAGCATAGAACTCCATTAATGATTGCTGCTAAATATGGTAGTGTTGAATTTGTGAAGTTAATTCTTTCTCTATCAGAGGTAGATGTGAATCTTTTCTGTGGCCCAGATAAGAGTACTGCTCTTCACTGTGCTGCTTCTGGTGGATCTGTTAGAGCTGTGGAGGTTGTTAGGTTGCTTTTACATGCTGGTGCTGATCCTTGTGTCATTGATGCCAATGGACATCGCCCCTTTGATGTTATTGCTGCTCCTTGGAATATGCCCCAGATAAAAGTAGCCCTTGAAGAACTCTTAAATAGTGACGGTCCTGTTTGTCTTGAGGATGTGCAGGAGTCAGCTGTTAATTTCAGATCTGGTTCATCATCATCCCTTTCATCTTCTCTGGATAGTGGTTTCTCATCTCTCGTATCAGATGCAAATATATCTGTAGTCACATGTAAGCCCACTGATAATACTGTTTCTTCTGCTCCAGAGAGGAAGGAATATCCAGTTGATCCATCTATTCCTGATATTAAAAGCAGCATTTACGGCACTGATGAGTTCCGCATGTTCTCATTTAAGATCCGGCCTTGTTCCCGGGCTTATTCCCATGATTGGACAGAGTGTCCTTTTGTTCATCCGGGTGAAAATGCTCGAAGAAGAGACCCAAGAAAGTTTCATTACTGTGGTGTGCCATGCCCTGATTTTCGTAAAGGGACCTGTAAGCGTGGAGATTTATGTGAATATGCTCATGGTGTTTTTGAATCCTGGCTGCACCCTGCCCAGTACAGAACCCGACTCTGCAAGGATGGCACAACTTGCAATCGTCGTGTATGCTTCTTTGCCCATAGACCTGAGGAATTGCGACCACTTTACGTGTCCTCTGGATCTGGCATTCAGTCTCCTCAATCCACTGCCTCTTCTGTCAGTACAATGGATAAGACTGCGGTCATGAACTTTTTGCCAGGTTCTCCCTCATTGTTGTCTGCAGTGTCAATGTCTCCATTTTCTCCAACCATTTCGCCTTCTGCTAGTGTTATTACTCAAGCTCCGATAGGTTGGCCTCAACAACACATTCCAACTTTGCATCTGCCTGGCAGTAATATTCAAGCAAGCCGTTTGAGGTCTTCCCTCAATGCAGGAGACATGCCAACCATGGAGCTTAATATGTCACAGGATTTTGAAATGTATCAGCCACAGCATCTACTTGATGGGATTTTCTCTAATGGGGTCTCTTCTCCTCGATGTCTTGATCAAGTGACTGCTATGCCTATATTATCTTCTGCACATAAATCTGTGCTTCTGAATCAGCTACACCAACAACAAAGGGTGTTATCTCCAATGAAGACAAACATCTTCTCTCCAAAGAATGATCACCTTCTCTTCCAGTCTGCATTTGATGCTTCCTTGTCAGAAAGAACTTTACCTTGGAATGTGGAGCCTTTGTCCCCATTGAACTCCCAATTATCTGCTTTTGCAGATATTGAGAAGCAGCATCAATCATTTCGCAGCTTAAGCTCACGGGAACTTGGATATAAGCTCTCAGATGATCTTGAACCAAAAGATGTTGTTGGTTCCCCTGTAAATTCCTGGTCAAAAAGGGAGACTCCCAATGATAAATTAGATTGGCCAGTACAAGAAGATGAACTAGGTCAGTTTCGTAACTCATGTTCTACTAGGCCTCATGGTGTGGAGCCTGCAGTTTCATGGGCTCAATCACTGGTGAAGCAATCTCCATCTGTTCAGACCACAGCTGCAGCTGCAAGCATGACGGTTTCTGTTGAGGGTTCTAATTCTAACTCCTCTAGTGAACTCAGTGATAATGCAATTTTTCTAGCATGGCATGAACAGTTGCAGATTGATAAGATTATGGCTTAGCGAAATCATTATCGTTTTTGGCAAGCTGGATTATTAAAACTGAATTGTTTATTATTTGGTTGGCTGGTGATGTGGGAATTAACAAGAAAGAGGAAGACAATGTACAGAGAAAGGAGTAGATATTGGTCCCAAATTTATATATTGTCATTATAGAACAAGTCAAGAAGGCGGTGAGAATATCTGTCTTGAGTTTCTTGCAAATGACCAGCCCGAGTCAGGCAATTTTCTCTCCTAAATTTTCTTATAACTTCTTTTTTCGGTAGAATAAGTTATACATTCCTTGAGATGAAGTTTGCCATCCCAATTTTTTTTTTATTATATTTGAATTTGTTGTTTCTGCTTATATAGATTTCTTTTCAATGTCAATTTTTGGTTCCTCTCCTAATCTCTCTCTCTCTCATTCCTTTGGCTTGTTTGTTTCTCCATTTTTTGTTACATTAAGGCTTTGTCTGATAAAAAAGATAAAAAATTTATTAATCTAATAATTAAAATTCAAAATCATTTTCCTACTTTGTAGCTTAATCATTAAATTAATAAATTGTTTTTCGTCATCCTTTTCCATCGTTCCTATAAGTAAAGCCTAGATCTTGGGAAATGGATGATGAGGTTGATCTCTTTTAGGTGGGGATTATTGATGGGAAGGTGGAAAGTATTTTTGTGGTGTAAAATATTGACCAAAGAAGAGAGATGTGATATAGAAATAGAATCACATTTTGGACAATGGGCATTTCAGGTACCATGTAGAGTTCAAACATGATGTCTTCCCATTCACATCATTGTGGGGACTCCTTAATCCTCATCGTAGGACAACTTGCTCACTCATGAAGGGATTGATCTTAATGGTTTGCCTAAAATTGTTCATTTTTTTTCATCATTCACGTCTTAAATATTCGAATCCAAAACCTTTAAAATAGAGTTTTAAGCATGTCTTGACCAGTTCTGGTTAACATTTTAGAAAATTATGCTTATATCAACTCGATGAATTATAGCCAACAATAACGTAGACTATTGATTATAGTTCAAATCTACTATTGATTATAGATCCAATCTTAACAACGTGGTCAAATTCTTATAATAGTCTCTGTAGTATAACAAAATTTGAAATTTAATTAATTTTTTATAATTCATAAAAATGTAATTTTCATATTATTTTTAATTTGATAATTTTAGTCCAATTACTAATCTCATTAAATATTTGCTTATAAAAATATTAACGTAGTTGTTGACTTGATGACGTAGGTTTTGATCATGCTAATGTGGCATTAATTTTGTTGATATGATAATTTGAATAAATGAAATCATTGTTAACTTATGTAAATATTTTTTATACTTGTATGAAATTTGAATTTTAATCCATTTAGTATATATTTATAAAAATCTTGTCTTCGTACAAGTTAAATTTGATAATATTGATCTAATCATTAAATCGATTAATTACATTCCGTTAACCGTTATCTTTTTAGAAAAATATTTGAAAATTAAAAGTCTTAAAAAATTCAAAAAAATGAAAAATAAAAAGTGATAAAAGAGTAGAAAAAATATGATATTTTAGGCTTTTTGGATTTTTTAAAGCATTAATTTTAACTTTTTTTCAATATTTATTTTTTAAAAAATAATATTTCTTTTCTTTTTTAAAAAATAAGGTTTTGATATAAAAAATTCAAAATTATAAACTATTAATAAACTTTTTTCTTATTTTTTAGAAATACTAAAATTATTTTTTAAAAAAATAGATTTCAATTTTTTTAAAAAAATTAATTTATAGACTTCATCAACTTTTAAAAATATTAAACATGAATTTTCCAATACTTTAATCTTTTAAAAAAAGTCATATTTTTTGAAATTTTTAATACAATCAAAATTTATTTTTTAAAACAAAATTTAAATTTTTTATTTTTTTATTTTTTAAAATACTAAATTTAATATTTTTTCAATATTTAATTTTTTAAAAATTCATTGTTTCCATTTTTTTTTGTATTTTTCAAATTTAAACTTTTTATATACCAAAATATTTACTTTTAAATGATTTTTAAAAAATTAAAATATTGGAAAATTTTTATTTTGAATATTTTAAAAAATCTAAAAATTTCCTAAGAAATTTCAAATATATAAAAAATTAGATTAATATTTAAAAAATTGTGATTTTATTTAAAAAATTCAAAAATACTATTTAAAAAATATTGGTAAAAATTTGAAAAATATAAAAATTATTTTTTAAAAATGAAATCTAATTTTTCAAAAAATTCAAGAATATTATTTTTAAAAAATAAATTATTGAAAAAAATAAAATTAATATTTTTAGAATCAGATAAAATTCTAAATTAATTCAAAATTGTGATTTTTAGAAAATTGGAATCCAATTGTTAAAATAAAATCCAAAAATGTGATTTAAAAAAAACAAAAATTTAATTTTAATGTTTTTTAAAAAATTCAAAAAAGCCTAAAAAATCATTTTTTTATTTTTTGAGATGTTTTTCTTAAAAGATAACGATTACTTCAATAGAGTTAAAAAAGTGTAATTTACTATATTAGTAATTGAATAAATATTATTAAATTTAATTTGTATGAGAACGAGAATTTTATAAATTATAATTGAATGACTAAAATTTAAATTTCATGTAAATACATAGGTTATTTATATTATTTAACAATTGATTTTATTCATCCAAATTATCATGTCAACAAAATCAACGTTATATCAGCAAAGTCAATACAATATCAACAACTATATCATTAAATTAATAATTATATCAATATTTTTAATGATAAAATTTAATAGTGTTAATGATTATACTAAAATTATCAAATCAAAAATTATATATTTCTATGAATTATAATAAAGGGAATAAATTTTAAATTTCGTTAAGTATAAAAATGGTTATCATAATTTGAGCAATATTTAAAAAAATAAAAAAACTTGATGAATTATATGAAATATTCCCATACCCTAATCTTTGAAGAGATAAATTTTAAGATGATGTTTTTTAGAGTTTAAACTTTAGACTACCTCTTCTTCAGTTCTTCCTTTGGCTCTTGATTATTTTTCCATGAAATTTAAGTAATTAAAAGGAAGGATTTTTTTTCCAAAAATTTTTTAATCTTTTTAAGAGTATCTTAAAAATAAAATTTTAAAAGCATTAAGTTTATATAGAGAGGAATGCAAACTTAAAACCATCAGAAAAAATCTAAACAAAACTTGACCTAAAAATATTTTTGAGCATATTACAAAAAAAAGTATATAAATGCAAAACTAAATGTATTTTGGAAGACATGCTAAATGATTCAAATTTGAAAAAAGCTAGAGAAAAAGAATGAAAGAGTAAAGATTTGATATACTCCTAATTTTTTGAACTAATTAATTAGAGATTTGATATATCTTATTTTAATTATTAGGATTAGTGTATTTTTTTAAAAATCTTTATCTTTATTTTCAATCTACTAATTTTTGCAGAGAATATATATATATATATATATATATATATTTTTTTTCCCTTTGTCTCATTAAGTTATTTGTCAGAACGCTAAAATACAGACAAGGACATTTGAAGTGTTTGCAAGCAAACATTATTTCAACTATCAATTGGTTTCTAAACTTAAAAAAAAAGAAAAGAAAAGAAAAGAAAACTAAAAGATAAAAAAAAAAAACTCTCAAATAAAAATTCAATAATTATTCAAATTTTTATTAATTTATTAGAATTAATTAAGCTCTTAATATCTTTATTTATCAATTAAGCTTTTATTAAACAAAAATTAACAAATCTTTGACTTTAATTTTTGTCTAATAAAAAATTCAATTAAAATAAAAATTGATATTAAAGGGTTCAATTAAGTAAAAATATATATATTTAAAGGTTTAAATAATTTGAAATAAAAATTCGGTACTTAATTAATTGTAATAAAATGTCATAAATTTAAATTATTATTAAATTTTTGTTTGAAGATTTTTTTTACCTTTTTACCTTAAAAAATAACTTGTTAATCCTAATTATTAAGAATTATAATGAATCAATCTTTTCGTCAATTTGTTAGTTAACTTTATGGTTAACTGTCAACTGGTGTCACGTGTAAATTGATGTTAAAAATTCAATATTGAACAAATTCAACATTACTAAAAAAATTAAGTACTAAAATATAAAAATTTTAGATACTGAATTTATAACAAAAAAATTTTTAATATGTCGCTGAAAATTAAAATATCTAGTAAAATTTTTATTAATATTTTATAAAAAATGAGATATACATATAATTATTTTCAATTGATAAAGGTTAAAAAGGAAAGAATCAATTATTAAAAGGAAAGAATATGAAATTAGTGCAATTAATTAACAATTTTTTAAAATAAAATTGATTTAATACATTAAGCTAAAAGCTATATAGCATTTTCAATACTTCTTTATTGAAATCTTTCATTAAGTGATTTTTAAAAATCGTTTATCAAACACATTGAAAATATGAAAAAATCTCTAATTTTGTTTAGAACGTGAAGGGTATTATCCTAAATTTATTTTAAAACATTTTATATTAGTTTAAATGCTATTTTTTATAGTTAAAATACTTTTTAAAAAATGTAAAGAGAGAGCAAATAGCCATTTTAGAAAAAAAAAAAAAAAAAAAAAAAGAGAGAGAAAAGGATGCTGTCGCTGAATGAGGGATGAATTGGGTTCTCATCTGGTAATTGGGCCTTATGCAGGGTCGAGCAACCCTTCATAGTGTCGGTCGGGTTTTAGAGAGGTCGAATCTGGCCCTTTGCACCAAATTGGAGGAGCCCAATCTAGGCCCTTTTTATGCTAGATTTGACCTCACAAAGGACTAGATTTCACCTTTCCCTTGCTGGTTGGCCACTAATTAGTGGGAACTATGGGGAGGAAAGAAAGAAAGAAAAAAAGAAAAAGAATTTTTTATAAAATTAATGTAAATAAATTTTTTTATTTTATAAATTATTTAAAATTTAAGAAATTAATTTAAATTATAATAAATATTATTATTTATTTTTCTTTTAATTTTTAATAAAGAAGAAAAAAGTAAAAATATTTTTTAATAAATTAATGCAATTTATAGTATTTTTCATTTTTATCTATTAGTAAATTAAATATTATTCTATTATTATAAATTATTTCATTTTTACAAAATTAATTTAAATTATAATTTAAAAATTATAATTTCTTTATTTATTTTCAATTTCCATGAATAATGAAATAAGAAAATTGGATTTCATGCCTTTAAAATTATAGACAAAAGCACTTTGATCCTTTTACCACCATTGAGATGAAAGAGACAATGACGTGAAACTGAAATTTTTAATTCTGTTTATTGATACAATTATTTAAAAAAAAAATGACATACAATAAAATTAAAGTTGAAATCTCAGCTTTCTCTTATTTTCATAGTATGAACTCATATATATATTATAAAGCAACAACAACATGCCCTTCAATTTTATAAGAAGTTTTACACTTTGTTGGGGCCTATAACTAAGAATAAGACTAATTAATTATAAACTCTTCCTTGCTAACACAAAATGTCAAAAGCTTCTCACTCAAAGCGTCATGATCTGATTCCAGTTCGTAGGTTGTTTCCAGCTGCACAATATATCCAACACAGTCACCAAAACTAGTTAAATGATGAGAAAAATAATGAAGGAATTAAGTTATGTATATTTTATTCATGCACCTGAAGGTGAATATTATAGAAGACCATTCCCTCAAATGACTCAAAGGAAGTAGCATTTAGTAGGAGGAATCCTTGTTGCTCCAAGTAATGCAACATCTCAGCTAACTGAGTCTTGTTGTGAACTACTTTTTCCATTGATATCTGAATTGCAACTTCATCACTATCAGTACGTAGCCGATTTATGGAAATAGAAGCAGTAGCATTTAAACATCTTCCAATTCTGCTTTTTCTTTTAAGACCCCCTTGCTGAGAAATCCTTAACAAAAGCTCTTCTTTTTTCTGGGCTAATCTTTCAACTTGCTCTTGCAATTCTGGTATGTATTTCATTGCACGTGAAACTGTAGCTGGAAAGCTTAACTTCTTCTGCATCAACAAATTAATTACAACAAATGAATAAATGTGGGTTTCGTATTTGATATCATCAAAGAGGGTTTTTGGATAAATCATATACTGATCATGAAATTATAATGAATCAGTACCATCTGATCTGAAGCTGGAAGCAATGAACTGAGGGATGAATACAATGTGTTGACCTTCTTTCGCCTGTCGCGTTCACTAGCATTGTGGTTAAGCTTCTTAACCACGCAGGGATCAAAACTGGTTTTATTGATAGATGGAGATTGAGAATCAAGTAGAATTTCTTCTTGTGGTAGAGGAAATTGAAGGAATGATTCTATACTTTCGTTGCCTCCATACATACAGTTGTGTTCATAGCCTATGGGATTGACTAAGGCACACATATTGGATTGGTACAATTTTTCTTAAGAAACTGAAATGATCATAACATGTATATATACAAACTACCTCAACACCTATTAATTTGTTTAATACATGGAGGATTTTAAAAATTGATCTTTTAAGCGTATTTATTATAAACATTATAATAAGAAAATGAAACTCCACCATTTTAATAACTTCATTTCAAGATTGTATTTGACAATATGTATATGCATGTCTGTAAATCTAATCAGTACTTAATAAATTATATTGTAAACGAAGGACATGAAAAAAATAACTTAAAAATTGTTTGAAAAAAACAAATTGATAATATTTAAAATAGTGGAGCACATAGAATTGAGATTTAATTAAGTTGGTTTATTTAGATCAAACAAATTTAAATGTCAAATCTTAATATCTACAATTTTTTTTTTTAATTTTCGTGTTATGACATCTTTTGTACTAAAAAAAATAATGGAGCAAATGACTGACATTTGAAAGATAATAATTAATAGTTCAATATGTATCAATTTTTTCACTTTAGAATATTAGAAAGATCCACTTGGTGGAGTTCTAATTCTGACTTTTTATAGTAGGGAAATGTGTGAGACCTTTATCCATAGATAAACTGACGACAGTTTTTTTTTTTTTTTTCATTTTTTTCCTTTATATTTCATTCTATACTTGTTCTTGAACTACTGAGAATGAAGAAAGAGAAATAGGCAGAAAGATTAGAAAATTTGGGAAGGAGAAAGAGCTTGTGGCATGCAAGGATTGCACGAGCCAAGAGTAGGGTTGCCACTCAAATACATGAGCAAGATCTCCCATGTCACGTGGAGGACATGTAACTTACTCAAGCCTCCCCAAGTTTGTGATAAAATCCTTCTTAAATTGGGAGATGACTTCATTGATGTTTACCCCTAAAGAGTCATCTCCACCTAAAGAATTTATATATTTATTATATTAAATTCATCCACGCAAGTGGTAAATATCGCAGTAAACCTAATCTTGATTTCTTTACGTCAATGATTAAAATCTAAGTTGATTTTTTGTAAAAGTTAGTGAGAGGATTGAAATATTAAAAATAAAAAGTTAACATTTTGCATAGCAAAATTTGGCTATTTAAAATACAATACGATATTATAATAAAAAATATAAAATAACATAGATTAAAATTTTAATAAAAATTATATATAAATTTAATAAATATAAATATTTATATTTTATATTTTTTATATTGATACAAATAATTATAAGACATAATTTTAATATAAAATATAACACAAATAGGTATAATTTTCTCTTATCACTTATCCTTCTTATTTTCAAATCATCGACAGTTTAAAGAAAAAAAAAAGTGAGCTCTTGGGATTGCAAAAAAGGAAAATAAAATAAAATCTATTTTATGGGAAATGGTTTAGAGCATATGTACCCGTAATGTTAAAAAATATATAAATAAAATTATGTTTAATTGGTGTTTTTTTGTTTATTTTTATTTTTTGAAAAATTGTTTAAAAAAAAGAAAAGGATAAAAAATATAATAATTGATTTTAAAAGAGAAATAATTAAGATGTAATACTACTTATAATATAATTAGTTTATATTCATATATTTTATCATTTAAAAATACATATTTTGTGTTTAAAATTGCATATTTTAAAAAATTGATCCATCAAAATGTATTTTTAAATAAAAATGAAAAAAAAAAGTTGCATTTAAACTAGTTTCATTATTCTTTGGCAAACAAAAAAAAACCTAATTTCATTTTTAATTGTCATATTCCTTATAGGCAGAGATTCGTCTTACCATTTACCATGTCATGGTGTTTTGTTTTGACAAAAGAAAGTAGGACAAAAAAATTCCTAGAAATGCATCTTCAACTTTTATTTGCTATACATACTTCAATGCTTCTCAGCGTCAGAACATGGATTTTTTTTTTTCTTTTCATTTACAAAGCAAATTTAGTGAACATTGTTTCCATGATAAGAAAATTAAAACCCAAAATGCAAGCTACATTCAACCTCTGAGAAACTTCCAAGGCCCTCTTCCATTCCCTATCCTGCATATACATTAGATGATTTGTTTTTTGGATTCTCCTTATATTTAACAATTAAGAGAGAAAGCATTGTTGCTGAGACTCTTAACCTACCTTCAGGCACAAGAAAAGAAAGAAATGAAGAGAATACGAACATAGTAAAGTCGTGGTCAAAAGGAAAAATTACCTCCAAAATCCGGCAAAAGCTCGAAGACTCATATATATGGTTAGAGCTATCCAGAGTCCAATGAATCCATGACTGGTGGCGAGAATACACAAACATATAATGCTTACGATAGCTACAACAACCTGTTAAAATGAGGAATGTTTATCAAGTATTAGTTTCTTTTGCTAAAATGGCAATTGGGATGATTATGCTCCCTCATTAATGTTTCATAAGAATAAGAGAAATCAGGAACAAACTCTTAACTTGTTGGAAAACTTTTCTACCAAACCCATCCTCTTCTTGTTTTCATTATAACCTTACAATTTGTATATTAATCTTATTGTATAAAGCAGGCAATTTATATATTCGGATCGTATTTTATATGAAAATTGTGTATAACAATTTGTGTCGACTAGTAAAAAATAAAATACATTTTTTTGTTAGACTCATATATAATTTTTATTAAAATTTTAAACGATATCACCTTTGTATATTTTTTGTATTTTTCATGTCATGTTTTAAATTATTAGGTTTAATTTTTAGAAATATTTCCCTTAAGTGAAATTTAGAATTTTTTTTTTTAATCTTACCTCAAAAAGACGGATAAATATGCGTATGCCTACTTTCTAGTGCAAAGCAGTGAATGCATAAACAGTACCAAAAATGATATTAAGAAGCAGTCAGACTTGCCAAGGAGAAGGCAGAATATGCGAAGTCAGATGCTCCAAAGTTGATGCCATCAAAAACAAATGCCAAAGAATTAATGGGTTGAGTAGCTGCAACAAACTGAAAGAGAGGGAAAAAAAAAGATTAATTCTAGTTGTCATTGGGTTTTAAACAGGTTGAAAGTCATTATGTATCCTTTCTTGTATGCTGAAAATCGGACATACTGGAATGCCTGTACCAATGAGGTGGAGGACATTGACATCTTTTGTAAATAATTTTGCTCCAAAATTCAGTCCACCTCCAAGTATGACTGCAAGTATGAATCCAAGAACCAATCCTAGCTGCAAGAAATATACAATGACTTTAAGAGGAAATCATGTCATGTGAAATGACACTTGATCTTTATGGCGTACGAACAGCACCTGCAATACTCGTGATGCAGTGGCCGTCGCCTTTTCATAGTCCTTTTTTGCAAATGCGCTTGCAAGCATTGCCTGAAAGAATGGAAAACAATTCAATCAAAACAATCTGCTAAATATTGAAAGTATTCTTTGCTTTTCGTTTTCGTAGTCTTTTACTATTGAAAAAGAGAATTTAATTACATCTGGCCAGAGAAAGTAATTTCTTTAAATTAACATACTGCCACTGTTGATGATTTGAGAAGATAAGAATTTAAAATCATGGCCGGAGGGGTGCAGTAGCTAAACGTAAAAGTATTTTGTAACCTGTCCAGCAACAGCCAATCCATCAGCCAGAAGAGATGTCGCCAACCAAACTTGCAAACACACTTGAAATGCAGCCATGGATGTTGATCCGTGCCTGGCGGCCATTGATGCGGAAAGAGTGATACAGAATGTAACAGCCATAACCCTTATTAACAATAGAAAACCTGGTTCAGACACAAGAATAAGGAGGATTAGTTGATCAACTAAGATATGCTGATACAGATTAAATGCTCATAAGTCTTAGACAAGTAAAAATAACTTGTTACACCCAACTACTTATGCATATGGGATATAATTAAGGATGTAAATTACTCTTTTTCACCAAACTCCCTCGTGATGCTCATAGCAGCGAAATGAACATTAATACTGTCTGATTCTCGGACAATTCCACATGCACGCACACATGCATAGATAGATTAAATTCCAATTTGCAAAATAACCTAAGACTGTTGATATTTGAGAATTTGTACAAGTCAAATTAAAAATTACCATTCTTAAGAAATCTACCAAACTGTAGATGTTTTATACTAGGAGGTATGAGGTCAACTTGACTCATTAACTTCCACAAGAGTATAATTAAAATGAGGTACCTGCAATCACCAATAGAAGTTAAAAGAAAAAAAATTTATTAAGTCAAAATAATTGAATGTTTATAGCGTGATGAATATATATATTGGACAGTGATTGGATATACTTACTGAGATATAATATGGGCAATGGCCGCACCACTGACCCCCATACGGAAAGCAAACATGAATATTGGGTCCAATATTATGTTTGTTGCATCTCCTGCCACTGAGTTTAGATCAGACGGATGAGAACAAATTAAAATAGTGGGTAGACCAGAAAAGAGCAGAAAAAGCTTTTCTGTTTCTTGGTGTGTTAAAAACGATCAGAACCATATTCCGAAGTACTTTTGATGGGATATATACCAGTAGCATATAAAGGAGTTTTTGTATCTTTTAATCCTCGAAAGACCCCTTGCATGGCTAAAGAGAGAAGAACTGCAGGAGCACCTAGAGACCTCAATGTCAAGTATTGCCGTGCAGGGTTTAGCATGGGTGAATCCTACACAAAAATAGACATCTGCTGTCACTACTATTGCAGGTAGATTAAGGCATTCAACACCAAACCGACCTAATGGGAAAAAACCAAGAAAAATCGAAAGCAACTAGAGGTTAAAGTGCCTCTTCCTGTTCTCTCACTCTGAGTACTTACTGAATTGACTCCCATGAAGTTCAACAGAGGTTTTACTCCAGAAATCAGGAATATGGCTTGGAGGAGACCAAGGATTCCACCAATAACCAAAGCTGATGAAGCCGATGGGATATGCCTTCTTTTGGGCTCGAATTTAGCAATATCAAAACGGTTTCCTAGTGTTTTAGGCTGGTATGCACCCTCGTTAGATTCTGAAGATCAGAATAAAGAGAGAACTAAGAATCACCTATTCAAATTGTAGAGAGTTTTGTGGATGAACCAATTTAAGGTAAAAGGGTTATAGTCAAAACTGATATCTGATCAGAACTAACGATTCCATTCAACTTGATCTTTCATTTGGTAAAAGAAGACAGAGAGAAAGAGGTGATGAATCATGGATGGATGCCATACCTTTTTGTGGTATAAACTCTTTATTTTCAGTATTTAAACATGAAACTGTTTCCAAGTATTCGCTTTCTTGTGCTTCGGAGCTCACTCTTCTAATTGTATCTTCCTCCGCAACAAAAGAGGTCGTGATGCTAACAAGTGGGAATATTGCAATTCTTGAGACTTGATTGAACAAGGCAATAGAAACTCCTACAGCAGCTAGTTCCACAGGACCTAAATGGATCAAGAAAACTAGGTAAGTCTTTCCAGAAGACAAGAAGCCTTTAACAAGAACAATAAGCCTTCAAAATGATGTACCAAATATAAAGCTCAAGCCATATTTTTCTTCCCAAAATGAAGGCTCAGAATGGAGAACCCCCCTCCCCCCCACCCCTCTCCATCCCTCAGCTCCTGCATGATCAGACATAAAGGGCAAAGAAAATTACCTATTTGGCCAATGAATGCTGTATCAACGAGAGAAGCGATAGGGTCAGCTGTCAAAGCCAGTGCTGCAGGCAATGCAATTTGTGCTATCTCTGATCCAAGTTCGTCCAGTTTAAAAACATGTCTGCCCATATAATTGCAAAATCAGACATTATATCCTATACATATCTCTTAAGGGAAAATTTTCGTAAAGAACAATAAATTTATAGGTCTTCAAAAACCACGTTGTTCACTAGAGCATAGCAAAGGATTGACCTTGGTATATTCTTTTTGGACAATTGAAGTAACCGAACTTTGATACGAGTATAATTTAAGATATGATACTGGAAACAACATTTTCTTTCATTTTTTTATTTTTCTATAATAGTTGTTTTGAAATTGCAAAATAGTATGAATTTCAACTTTCTGTTTTTTCATCTAATTGTGCAACTGCAATAACAAAGATGAAACTTTCAATCCTAAAAAGCTAATCAAACTACTGAACTGCCTATCTTGCGAGCAAACTAAATGTATGGAAAGCAAAATATGGGAACCATACCTGGCATCCTTGAAGAAAATAAAAATAGGAAGTCTCATCTTGACCCTATATGGATATGGATCATCTTCTTCAGTCATCATTTTGATAGGGGTGAGTCACAGAGTTGTCCAAAGGATGCAGAATTAATCAAGCCAATGGCATCACACTGTATATAAACAAAATCTCACAAACTGAGCCCTGTATCCTTTGATTCTATCACCTAATAAATGATAAATTCTTGAATACCTGGGAAAAGAAAGTTGGAACTGATTAAATAACCATCGTCACTTTGTCAGTTATCTACATAGTCTACAATTTTCCATAAGAATGATTAAACTGATAATAGAAAGAATTACATGGAACTTTGAAATTAAGTATGTTTAACACAAAAAGGAAAAGGGAAAAAGAAGTTTATTGAACTCAGGCCTTAACTTACTTGGTTCATGCTGTCACCCTTATTGTCTAGGAAATCTCAGACCCTGCAATTGCTTCGTCTATATATCTTAAACTGCGACCTCTTTTGTAAAATAAAAAATATATATTATTAACTTAAGCATTTTTTATCAGGTCGCAGGTATATGTATCAAACTTATACAACCAAGTTAGCACCAGCCAGAACAAAAGTTTCTGCAAACTCAACAACACAGAGAAAAAGCTGTACCTGTCCCTTTTCACTGTAAACTTCAAGAAGCCCCCTGCTTCCAACCTCGTAGGCTTCTTTGAAACCTCAACGCCAAATAATCAAAACAAGCCCGTAAGAAAAATGAATGTCCTCTTACTTTCACATAAATCTCAACAAGAATTTTGAACTTACAAAACCATATTCGTCTGAAGTGTCAAAATGAATTTGGAGTTGAAAAGTTAATACAGCATTTCATCTTTGAAACCTCAATCAACTCACCACCTACCTAAATTTAACTCTTGAAGAAAAATCTGTCCACATTACTGTGACTGGAATAGACCTTAAACAAGAATAAGGTCATACCACTTTACCCACCAATTTGGTAGGTTTACCGGAGAGAAACATTAGTGTGTGGTGCAGTCTAGAAGGCATGCATTCCTCTGGTCAGAAGGGTGAGACAAGTCTAATAAAGAGCACAATAATACAAAGTAGGCCCAGTGTCCCAGAAAAAGGTTGATTCCCAATGAAGCTGCCAACAAAGTTAGATTACAAGTGTCAGTATCAGATTCAAGTAGAAACACCCTTTTGCATTAAAATCCTCAACGGTGCTACTGAATGCATATGAAAGTTTGACAGGTGTCCCACTGTTTCATCCAGAAAATTACTCAAATGTTTTAGTAAATGTAAACCTATTATTAATGAACAAAACGGTGATAATATGGAAGAATAAATGAGAAAATTGCTCATTTACCATTAGCTAATATCCAATTAAATAATACTGACCAGTGACAACAGTTTAAGCCTGTTCTCAAATTCCATCAGGAAACTTGAGAATCCTGTTTCTTAATTAGCCCTGTTGCTTGTTTCTGGTTTTCTTTACTGAAATATATATGAAATAAATGTGGGAAAAAAGTAGAATAAAGAAATTATTATTAGATTATATTAAGAGAAGGTATTCTGTGAAAAGAAATATAAATGATTCCATAGTTATTTCATGCAAAGATAATAAAAGAACATTAAAGACGAGTAAGTCCCTATCCCATCCAATGATTCCAATGAATGGGAAACTGCGTGGAGAATTCTCCTACTTAGTACTTATAGTCAGTCCCCCACAAAAAAAAAAAAAAAAAAAAAGAAAAACAAAATGACAAAGTATGTGTTTTCCTTCCCAAGATTTTCTTTAAAAACTAGTATTATACTATGCATTATCAAATATATTTATAAGAAAAGAGGTCCTAATGTTTAAAGAGGCAAGAGGTAGCATAATACTTTATCATATACTTTGGTAAGATAGCTTTATGTTGATGCATTGGGTAATCCCACTTAAGCTGCGTTTGTTTCATAAAAAATTATTTCGAAAAATAATTTTTGTATTTTTAAATGTTTAAAATTGATTGGTTAAAAAAAATAATTTATTGATCAGTAAAAAATAAAATCATTTTTTTGAAAATTGTCATCTTCTTTTGAGAAAGTAAAGATAATTAAAAAAAAATTGTTTATGAATAGAATTATTTATTAATAAATTTGAATATAATTTTACTCAAATTGAATCTTATACATAATTATCTCATAGAATTGAATTCCGTTCAACTATCACGATGAATGGATGGTCCCAAACTGCTTTTCTTAGTATTAAGTTGATAATCACATTTTATAATTATTAATTACTTTTAAAATCGAGGTTTCAAGTTGGATATATCTTCCAACATAAAGCCACAAATATGTTTTCATAATTTTTTGAAGTTTTAGTGTGAATTATTGAGTGGAGGCATATGTATGCTTAACATGTTTTTTTTTTTTAAACACTATAATAATAATTAAAATATCATAATCAAATATGTTATATTTAGAAGGACTTCCCATTAGCCAAGTTGGGCACCATCTCTTTATTTGATTTTAGAGTTAACAGTGATTGTGTGTAAATCATCATGGTCCATGTAGGACTCCCCCAAACGCTTGGTTTTTCTTAGTAGTCCATCTCCTATTGCTCCTTACCTTTTTGAGGATAAAGTGTACACTTGGAAGAACAATTTCAAATTTGGAAGAATTTTTAAATTAAAATATTCTAAAATGCATCAATCTAAAACACATAAGATTTATAATTTGGATAAGTATTTTCTAGAATAAAATTGAGCATTAAAATCTGATGAGATGCAAAAGAAAAATAATAGTATTAGAGATAGAAACAGAATAAAAAATGAAAAGAAATAGTATATAATATGATATATGTGTCATTAGATTTATAAAAATATATAAATATTAACAATAATATAAAAAAATAAAAAATATATAAAAGAGTTAAACTTAATAAAAATTTTAAATTTTTTGTGTAAAAGATCTATTCAACAAGTTTTATCAAATATATCAATTTTGATTTTCTATATTAGCTAAGTATAAATAAAGTGAACAATTATAAACCCACTTTAAAAAGGATAAAAAATAAAATTCCTTTTTCTTCCATAAAAAGGACGAAAATAAAATTTTCAATATAGTAGTTTTATTAAAAAAGGACAACGCAAGAAACTAAAAGCCATTTTAAAAAAAATTTAGACCAGTCCTTGAAAGCTTCAACCAAACAGAAACATGCTTACTTGGCATAAACTTGTACCATAAAAATAAACCAAACAGTTGACTGTTAAAATTTGAAGACATGCAAGTAAGCATTCAAATGATTTTCACGTCAATAATCTCGTATAGACACCTCAAATTATCCGGAGATCTACTAAATTAAGATTCTATTAATTAAAAATAAAATATAATAAAATGAGAAAATGGGAAAAATTAAAAAAATAGATATTGAATTTATGTGAAAGTGTATAAGGAATTTAAATTGGATTAAAACTTAGAAGTTAAAATTAATGGATTGAAATTCCATTTGGTTTAAGATTCTCAGATTTGAGACCCTATAAATATAGCTTTAAACACACAAAGGAAAACATATAAAAAAACAGAAAGCAGAAGCAAGGAAAAAGTATTTAGAAAAGCTACGGCAATTCTAGAATTTTAGAAATTTTTTTTGAAATTTTGGTAATTGTTTTTTGAAAAATTTTTGAAAAAATTCTAGATTCCGATGAATTTTCTGATAAAACTTGAAATTTTTGATGATATTTTCCAGTTTTCGATGTATTTTTCTCAGTTTTTGATAAAAGCTTCAACCAGAATTTTGAATTGGTAGAAAAAGAAAGAGAGGAAAAATAAGGAAGAGAGAAAAATGGGAGAAAAAATTCAAAGAAAAGATCGAATTTTAGCCTTTTATACCACTTCAAAACGACGTCATTTTGAGCGTTAAGAAACCCCAAGATCCACACATTTCTATTCGAACCAACTCGACCCAATCTCGACCCATTTCACTAACCTGCATTTCAACCTGTCCATTCAAGCTAAGCCGAGCTGAGCTGCACCCCTAAGCTGTGTTTTCGAGTCGTTGTCTTTGTCTTCAGTCGAGCCAAATTTCAGCTGCTAAGCCGAGTCGTTTCGTTTTTTTGGTATTTTTTTCATTTATTTTTTTATGTGTTTATTTTTTTAGTATTTTTACATGATTTAATTTAATAAAAAATTAATAAATAAAATAAAATTTGAGAATAAATATTGATTAGTCAATGATAGAATTTATAGAAATTTCAAATAGTAAATTTTTGTAAAATTCCTAAGTGAAAATTTTTGTTTGAATTTGTCCCAAATGGTAGAATAATTTAGATAAAGTTTTAATAACAATAATTAATATTTATTTTCAAATACAAAAAAATAAAATTTTAATAAAATTTTGGAAAAATACAAATTACCCAGGGATGAGATTCTTAGAAATTTCAAATAGTAAATTTTCTAATAAATATATAGGTGGGAATTTTTTTTCTAAATTTGTCTCAAATAGTGAAATAATTTAGATGAAATTTCAATAAAGGTAATTGTATTCTTTTCTAAATTTGGTTGAAAATATTTGATAATTATCTAAGGATGAGATTCTTAGAAATTTCAAATGGCGAATTCTTAAGAAATCTCTAGGTAAGAAATTTCTTTAAATTTGTCCCAAATGGTAGAAAAATTTGAATGATATTTCAATAAAATAATCGTCATATTATTTTCTTTCCGAAAACAAAAAAAAAAAATCTAAATTGGCCAAAATGGTGAAAATTTAGAAATTCCAAAATTTTTTTTTAAAATTGACCCAAATGGTAGAAAATTTAGAAATCCAACAAAAAAATAAAAAAAAAGAAAGAAAGAATTTCTAAATAGACCCAAATGATGGAGAATTTAGAAATTCAAAAGAGAATATTTTTAATTTGGCCTAAATGGTAGAATAATTAGATATATTTTTAATAAAAAAAATAATTAAACTTTTTTTTTACGACAAAACCTTTTCAAGAAAACAAATGAGATTCTTGAATACTCTTGAGGTAAGAAAATATTTTTAAAAATTCTACTAGATTGATGGAGAGTCTTAAGAATTATTTTCAATATTTCAACATAAAAATTTTAAGACCATTAGAATTAAGACCCTATGATAAATTTAAAATAAAATGGTACTATCCTTTGAATGGGCATGTGGGAGTACTATAACATTTCTCATATGTAATCGAACTTTCAAACTCTGTTCTGATTAGTAGACCTAAACCCATTCTTTTAGAACCTTTAGTCAAGCTTAGGAGTTTCTTAAAAAGATAAATTCATTAGGTAGCCAACCCCACCTAGTTAAAAAAGATTTATGGTGACTTCTTTTGTTAAATCTAGCTATAGATTTTCGGATCTATATGTTATGATAGTTTGACAACTCCGTTGGGGATAACCATATAAAGAGTCAAGCCATAAACTTTTGAATTTATCCTATCTTTTGATTTAATGGTTTTAAATTATAATTATTTGGTTACTAACATTTTTTCTTTTTTGTTTCTTGTTTGATTTATGGGGTTGCCAATTATATGTTCCTTCACACATATTATCACATGCATTTTCATTACATGTGTTGTATACCTGGGCTTCGTCTCTTCTAGGAGGGAGTAAAGTACCTATGCTCTCGTGAGATGATAATCTCCGTAATGGCTAGCGAAATACTCTCATTTAAATTGAATTCTTTTTGTTAGTAGCCTGTGATAGGCGAAGATTGGACTGCCTTACTAGTCTGTGATGGACAATAATGTATGGAACAATTTGGGAACCTTTAATGGTCAAAATCACCTAACCTTGTATGTAGTGTACACTTAAGAGGCCACCCCTAAGATAGAGCCCTTCCTATCCATTGATAGATATATCCTGAAATTAGGACACAAAAAGGAACAATTGCTTATCTAACCATTTTGCTTGTTTGATTTTGTGCATTATGTCCATATCATTTCATTCTATGCATCATTTTCATACTCATGTTTTAACATTATCATATCATTTCATTCTCATATAGGAAATATTTGTCACATATCAGTTATTAATAAATCAAATCTCACACTTGCATCCATGAAAAACCAAATGCAATCAAATTCTACATCAGTTCATTATTAATCTACTCATCAATTAAAAATCAAGTCAGAGAAAGATAAAATAAAACAGGGTGATTGCATGCCTGAGGGTTTTATCTCTTCACTACTCGAAAAAGTTCATCTTGATCTCCAATAAAATGATCTAGCTGACCTAAGTAGTGTTTGGGGATGAATGAGTACAACAAGGTAGGAGGTATTTGAGAAAAAATATGAAGACATAGCTTCACTACTCCAAGTG